CCTCCCCTTTCCCCCAAGCCAAGCTGAGATACAAAGGAACTAAGTAAGTAAATGGTCTGATACTGCTATCTGCTCTCCACACACCCAATTCATCCCTCAGCCTCACCAGCACATGGAAAACAAGAAGGGTACAGATAGTCCAATGAAAATCTACGACTTAAGAATCACAAAATGTTAAGAACTGGAAGGAACTTCCCAGGATCATATAATTCTGAGTGATGAGGTCACTTAAAGGCAGTTAATTATATTCAACTAATGGTAAATCAGCTGCATACATCTTAGAAGGAAAAAACCCATCATTGTCAATCAACTCCTGATTCCACTTTACCAACCTGCTAAACGACATGCTTAGGGCAGTCATTTAACCTCCTGGGCTAGTTTATTCTGTAACAGAAAATAGTAAGTTAGTCAAAATTCTGTTATAAACTACATCACAAATGTAAGGAGATACTGTCTCCAGGTATATACACAGTATGACCCTACAGAATGAGTTATCAGGAAATGACAGAATTTGAAGGTTCTGTTGTTTTAGAAGGCCCCACTAAGTGTGAGATTGCTCCTAGCCCAGCCCACTGGCCTGGGGATGCATGGATGAACTTCAGATGGTCCATGGACTCCCCTAAAATTATATCCACAAAGCACAAGGAAATCTTCCAGAGCAGATTTCTTTAGGTTTCATGATTAGTAGTCCCCAAAAGGTTGAGAACCACTGCTGTAAAATAACACACAAATGCAGAAGATAAAGCTTCCATAGATGTTGCTAAAACAGTAACCCTATTCTCCCAACCAACCTGAATCAGAATCTTATTTTCACTTTCTTCATTTTCTCTCTCATCATCAAATTCTGTCCACCACTTCCTTCCTCCCGTCCATTCCTATAATTACTACCACAGTTCAGACCCTCACCATCTATGCCCACAGCAACCAACAGGTCTTTTCTATGTCCATTTTCTACCTCAGCTCACAGGACATGCTCCTGCCGGATCAATCCTCTGAAAACAAGGCTTTAATCGGTTCATTCTTAACTCAAAAATCATCTGTAAAACCCCACCGCCTACTAAATCCAAGGTCATTAGCCTGGCATTAAAAACAATCATAAACTGGTCCAAATTTTTACTTCAAGCTTTATCACCCTTTATACTAGTACAAATACTTACTTACATGCAATTCAATTACCTGCCCCTCCTCAAATGTATGAACTCTGAGTTCTTACCTTGTCCCTTCTCTGCTTAGATTACCTTTCCCAGCCTATCAAAAGTCATACTCATCCTTCAAAACAAGTTACCCCTCAGAAGCCAGAAGATCTATGAACTAACCTGTCCTAACCCTACCTTGCCAAATAAGGTGTGAGCTCTGCACCCCTTAATTTGAACTGTGTAAAACTTAGTTGTACATTAAAACATACATCTGTGTTTAGTCCTACCTACCCAACTAGTCTTTGAAGGCGGAAACTGCTGTCCTCATTTTACATTTCCCCCAGAATACTTCACACAGTCATGCCGTAGATGCTTAATAATTGTGCAAGGAAGTAAAAGTATTTTAGCCTTCACGCTATACACAGCAAAGGTTACTACCTCTCTGAAGGCAGAGACCTCACCTGTGACAGCCTCTACACCAGGCTTCCAAAAGACAACACTAAGTTAGTTACTGCTTTTCACAGCCCTTGTGTTGTAGGTCTTATAAACAGTTTTGCATTTTAAGGAAAGAACTACTTGAAAAGGTTAGTTACATCCCAAAGAATTATTCCTCATAATTTACACTTATCAATTTGAGCAGGTCCCAACACTTGGCCCCCCAAATTTTCAAAAGTGATAGTTCCCACTATCAGCTAATTATCTACTTTGTGGCTAAAAACAAGTGAAATAATGCCTTTGTTTTAAAGATGCATTTTGCTGTATAATACAGAGACTTAGTGGGACAGTTAAGTGACTTTTATACATGAGCATGAACTCTTGTAGAGACCTGCATACAACTATACACCAGATTTCAGGTAAAAACACCAAAGAGGGTGGGAAAGGGGGAGGGAGATAACTCTGGACATTTTTCTTTTCCACTATTACCAATAGCACTTCAAAGCAGAAATCCAAGCCTTTTGCACATTAGCCCACACAAAAATATAAAAACTCATCAAGCAGAGAAAGTCACGCCAAGCCCCTGGGAAATCCTCTATCCAGGGAGAGTACAAATATCTAATCTATAGTCCTCTTCTTTGATAGGAAGGTTTCATATAATTAGGAGAGCAAAGGAAGGAAGCTCAATTACAAGTAGATGGAGTAAAAAAAGGACTGTGTACAAGACTGATCATTTAAAGGCTACAAAAGCAAGGAGCAAACTACAAAATGTACACATTGTTTTTAAAGGATCAAAGAAAGAGGTCCAAGTCACAGATGAGGTAAGGACTAGTAAAAACTGCAAGGTCACTGGGACCTACCAGGTCACAAAGGTGGAGGTGGAGGTTGTGCTGGGGGAGCTGCAGACTCAGTGAAGAACACGGAGTGATTATTTTAAAGAACGTCTGAAAAGACTCTCTAAGGCTGAGTCCTTGATTTGGGACAGTGGAATTGCGGTGGAAGTCAGGGCACGGGCAGCAAGTCCACACATATATCGGTGTTTTCTGAAGAGGTGTTAGGGAAGGGAAGAGAAGGTAGAAGACGAGGAGCAGGCTGAGGAAGCTTGAGAACTGCAGCCTGCGGAGTCACGGAAACACTTCGCTCCAGTATCATTAGCTCAGGCCTGTGCCGGGACCAACTCGGGGCAAGACCCGTGACCCCACCCCAGAAAACTCCCGCCCCGGGCTGGAGAAGGCAGCCGGGACGCGCGGGCCAGCGGCCGACGGTGCCCCGGGGGGTCCCGCCCCGGGGCGGACCGTGCCGGCTGCCGCACCGCGGCGAGGGCTCAGGGCCCGCGGCCCCCGCCCGCGCCCCCAGCTTGGCGCCGCGGCGTCCTTACCCCGCGGTAGCGGCGGCCCCGGCGGCCCCGGCAGCGGTGTCTCCTCCAACAGCAGGCGCCCTCAACCTTCCGCGCCCAAGATCGCCATCTCGCCGCAGGCGCGGCGGCAGCAGCCACCCAGGCGTCGGCCCCGGCAGCCCAGGCCGCCTGCAGCCACTTGGAACCCGCACGCCGCGCTCGCCGACACCCGACCCTCCCTCCACCCCCGCCCCGGCGGCACGCCACCGCCCGCCGACCCCACACCCGCCCTCCCCGGGAGCGCGCCGCGTGCTCGCGTCGCCGGCGCCGCGCCCTCAGCGCGCGCTCCCCCGCCGTCCTGGCACCGCGCGTTGCGCCGCGGCCGCCCAGAGCCTCCAACTCCGGACACGGAATCCGGTTTCTCGCGAGCATGCGCAGCGAAGGGACCCTGTGATGCCTTTACAAACTCCGCTTCTCCGGGTCTTTGGAGCGGTCGGGGAGGTGGAGGGGCCGCCAATGGGAGAAGGGGGCGGGGCCTCAACCTGGGGCGGGGGCGGGGCCGCCGCCGAGATTTGCGAAGACGCCTCTCCCAGCCGGTGGGGGCTGCTGTTGACCTGACTTTCCGGTTTGCGGCCGAGTTGGTGTGTCCTCGAGTGAGGTCCTCCGGGCACTGGCGTTCTTTTGTTTGAAAGCTTTACATTAAAAGTAGGCTGTCAGTAAGTTCTCCTTGACTTAGCTGATTGATCTAGAGCCCATTGCAAGAGCAAATAATTGCATTTAGCGGATGGTCTTACTAGAAGACTTCCAGTACATTTTTATTAGTAATCAAAGCGTTCACTCCACCCACTTCCACATGAGTACGATGAAAACTAATACGGAGCAAGCATGTGTGTCAGTGCAATTAATCCACTCAGTAGTCTCATAAAGAAGGATCTATTATCCCCATTTTATGAGTGAACTAGTCTACAAGAAAGGCCACCCTGCAACAAGTCATTGGTGACTACATTACTCACCAGATGAACCGGTCTACTTCAGAGAATAAAAGCCATCAAGCATGCATTTCCATAATTTTTGCCCATCCGCCTCACCCAAGCCCTATAAATTACCCACATCCACACCAAGCCTACTAGATTTATTTGTGTCTGAGAGGCTGGGTGTCTGCTCCTCCCCAGTTCACTGTGTGCTTCACTCCCTCCTGGGACCTCCCCTCTTTGGCATATCTTTAGCCCCACATTCTCTATTGGGTAAAATTCCTCAGAGAATTTTGAGTCTAACTGTCTTAAATTTTCCCTTCACTTGAAAACCTGTTTCTAGTCCTCACTCTTCTATCATAACTAGGAATGTGTATCAAGAACAGCATTGACACTCCCCGAATATTTGTAGGATTTAATAAATATCTCTTGAGTGAATGAATGCACATTCTCTTCCTCTCCATTGCATCAGTCTCTACCCTCTGACTTCATACCTGCATTCAATGCACACATACATATCCACAATCATTACTCTAAAATATACATCTGAGCATGCCACATCACTGCTTACAATGTTTCACTGGCTTTTCAGAGCTTTAAGACAAAGATTAACATGATCTTTAAGGCCTCTTCATGCTCCCATGCTCTATTCCTCAGGCTTCAGAGGTCAGACCTTTGTCTTCAGAATTCCTTAATTGTGCTCACTAATCTCTGCTTTAACAAGTAGTTTCCTATAACTCTTCTTCACTTTTTGCTTGCTTGATCCCTTTAAAAAGAAATTTAAGAATATGCTTATAATGTCCACTCTCAGACATTAAGTACATATACCCAGCAGAGGTCTACACTCCATCTCCAAAGTGCATACAGGCCTCCTTCCACTTCCTGCTCTATGTTTCACTCTCACCTCTCCTAAGTGCTCTAGGTTTCTGCCTCCAGTCAATTCCATTCAGAAGCTTCTAGTATGTACCTATGTTCCTAAGTTAACAGCCAATGATGAGCAGCCTTTTATTATTAAATATTTCTTGGTTTCAAATGAACACCATTATAAATAAATATCTTTTCATAAATTATTGTTCATATCCTTAATTACTGTCTTAGTTTAAATCCTTAGAAGTATCAGAGGTGTGAACAATTAAAGCCCTTTCAAAACACTGGCAAGTTGCCTTCCAGACAGAACATAGGCTGATGTATCTATCACATTGCCTGGGATCAAAACAAAGCTGGACCACCCAGAGCCACATTCAGAATTTCATGGGTCCTGGAAGCTTTTACCTTCATGGGCCTCTTCCTCCATAAAATGATACTAAAAATTATATTTATAGCTGTATTGATAAAAAGATGAACATATTGGTGTTGCATATTAAAACATTGTTTTCCACCTAAACATTCACTTCTTTATTTTCTGGTTTTAAAGGAAACTAAAACATTTTTAATGGTCCCTAAAAATATGGTGAGCCTGAGGTACTGAGCCTACTGTGACAATTGGATGTCAAACCTGTTGTCACCCCTACAAGCTAAGAGATCTTGTCACATTCTTTAATCTGATTGTACATCAAATAGAAAATTGGTATAATGCTATGGTATGATGTGGCAAAAAGTAAATTTGTTGCTACAAATAAAAACACCTAGAATTAGGTGGCCCATCATAAATTACTGTTCTTATGTTGTTATTATCAATTTTCTCATAGCAGTATATAAGAGTATATAATTTTCCTTCTTCACTGTGCCTAAGTCATCATGGTATATTTTCATATGGGCAAATATGGTGTCCTATTATTGGTCCATTATTCATTTTCTTATTGGGGCATTCACAAAACAGCGGTTTACATATAATGAAGATATTGGGCCTAGATAAAACTATTGGTATCTTCCATTTTAGTTTTCTTCCATTATTCTTTGCTTCACAAGTCCTTTCCCATCCTGAGATCATATCATTTATCTACTTTTATTTCTTTCTACTTGTTTGATAATCTCATCTTTTCCATTAAATAATTTAATACTTTCAGATTTATTTTAGAGTGATCTCTAAATAACTCATAGTCTCCCCAGCTTCCTTGTTAAAGAATCCTTCTCCAACTGTGATGGTTTTAAAGTATGCCCACGAATTCCCTGATATTTCTTCCTTTACATGGTACAGCCTAACTGCCTTCCAAGTGAATGTGAGCTGTATTTTGTGACTTGCTTCTAAATGGATACAATATAGCAGAAGTGACAGTATGTCATTTCTAAGACTAGGGCTTAAAAAGGTATTGTGGCTCCACCTTAACCCCTCTTAGATCCCTTGCTCTGGCAGACAGTTACCATGTCATGAGGACGTATCAGGTAGCTTTATCAGATGCCCACATGGCAAGGAGCAAAACATCGTACCAACAACCAGCAAGGATCTGATTATTGACAATCTGCATATGATTGATCTTTCTTAGAAGCAGATCCTCCAGCCCCAGTCAGGTTTATAGATGATGCAGGCATCAACCTCATTAGAGAATCTTGAACCAGACCCCTCAACTAAGTCACTCTCAAAAACCTGGTCCCATAGTAGCTGTGAGCTAATAAATGTTTATTGATTTAAGCCATTACATTTT